ATGATGTCAGCGTCACAGTTAGTGATCTCCTCCATGATGCCCTTCTTCCTGTACTCCCAGTTAAGGGCCCATGAGGGACAATAGCCGTACAACTGCCTTGTTGCATACTTGTCACAGAGCACATTGTAGCACATCACTGTGAACACAGCTTGAGAACACAGAGATTTAATATTAGCTTTGCGGTTGCTAAATCAGGCTTTTCAAAAGCCTGTGACGGGATGCAACTATGTACCTGTGGGCATCATTTGGTCTCGCTCCCTCAAAGTGATCCAAGGTCTTTGGGGAAGTTGTTCAGGGTGGACTAATTTTGGGAGGGGAAATAGTTGAAGTAAGTCAAATGAATAACTTAATTAAATGAATAACATGTGTACTGTATTAATAAGCCACTTTGTACCTGTGTCCGTTATTACCTGCAAGATTGTCAAGCATGTAATTCAATAACTTCCTTGTTCCATCAGGCTCCTGATACAGGTTGAGTATATCCTGGGACAATGGATTACCTGCAAAAGAAATATTGTTTTTAGGCCTAATTCAAAAATTGCATGTTTGTTTTGCACACATAACCCTTAAAAAAAGCTTCACCTTTGAGGCCGAGGGTTTGCAACTGGAACAGCCGACCAAGTTCATAAGGCAAAACTCGTAAACAATTGTTGTTCAAAAGCAATTCCCTTGAAATACACACAGTAAAAAACATGTTACCATGTTTAGTGTAACTGAATAAAATCGTTCAAAGTGAACTACACAAAGGTCTATTGATTAAACATTTTAGCTTAAATAGAGTAATAAGCCCTCTGAGTCACATCCTAATTCTATTTTTATACATTTTGCCTATTTTAAATGGAAACAAAACAATTTAGTGTTCTTAATGACTATTGTTTTTAAGAACCTGCATGTGCTGAGAGGCTGCATTCAGTCTGACAGGACCTCATAGAGACGGACCGATTTGTTAAAACGCACCTGAGAGTCACCATGTTGCCAAGTTCTGCTGGCAGGCTGCGCAGTTTGTTGGAGGACAGGTTCAGGTAGACGAGATGGGGCAGCTTTGCGATTTCAGGGGGAATCCGGCTCAGGTTGTTGTTGTTGATGTGGAGAGCAGTCAGGTGGGTCAGCGTCCATAGTGAACTGCTCAGGCTTCTGACTCGCCCTGTAACACAGGAGCACAGACAGAGTTTGTGACAAACTTTTTTTCACCAAATATCCCAGAGAACACACAAACACTGATAAATCTTCAGCACTAGAAGTCACTTTGGAAAAAAAATACTTTTTTAGTAGTTCAGTATAAGTAGGTTTTCATGTTTCACTTAAGTGGTTTATTCATTCATCATTTATCTTGTCAGTGTTCCTTCAGTGGCACATTTTTTTAAAATAAGTTGATTTTATGAGTTGAGGAATAAGATTGACGAAGTGAGGAATAATAACTAACCAGAAATCTCCAACTCGGTCCAGTATGATTTCTTCCCACTGGCCGCTTCCTCGGCTGACATGATGGTGTATAATCTGCGTGGGTCTGGAGGATCATATTTTTCCTTTGGCATGCCTGTTAATCTGAAAATTCATGCAGAAAATATATGATTCGTCACTATTTCTCTTACTTACAGTATGTCATTTTCTCAAAAAACAAATATTTGTATGAATTTGTATATTTGTATGAATCATAAGAAACTGATAGAAAGTTGAAAGTCTGATCTATGAGTCAGCTGGCAGTTTAACTGTAATCTCAATGCCGTGAGAGTGGCCCTGTCCCAAATGGCACCCTAAGCACTCACAGTCTTCCTACGAGTCCACACTTTCACCATGTAAAGTCTGCTGCAGAGGTCGCATCAGTGCAGGCTCGGCAAAAGTGCGCATCGAGGGCGAATATCGACCGCAAAGGGGGTGCTCGTGAGCACCTATCTGAAACCTAAAATGACAAAGTCTCATGGACTTAACGGACACGTGCACGTGCACGCGGCAGCCATTGTAAGTCCACAAGACCGAAAGTGCATTTGAAGTGTGCCATTTGGGCCAGGGCCAGTGACTCCCTCTAAGGCCTCAGACCAAACTGACCGCCCTTAGACACACTAACATTATGTAAGTACATGATGTAAATCAGACAACAAACAAGCCCTTATACTTGCGCAAATAAAACCTTTTTCTGACAATGGTTAAGAATTGCTTAAGGTGATTTTAAAATAAAGCTTAAGAAAAACACTATGTAGTCAGTCACTAAGGTTGTAAAATATCGACATATCATCTACACTACAGGTCAACAGTTTGGGGTCGGTAAGATTTTTTAAATGTTTTTGAAATATGTCTCTTATTCTCTCCAAAGGTAAAACCAATACTGTGAAATATTACAATTTAAAATAACTGTTTTCAGTTTTAATACATTTTAAAATGTAAGTTATTCCAGTGATGGTAAAGCTGTATTTTCAGCATCATTACTCCAGTCTTCAGTGTCACATGAACCCTCAGAAATCATTCTAATATGCTGATTTGGTGCTCAAGAAACATTTCTTATTATAAGTGTTGAAAATGATTTTGTTGCTAAACCAGGATACATTTATTCAGGATTCTTTGATGAATAGAAAGTTAAAAAGAACAGCATTTATTTGAAATAGAAACCTTTTGTAACATTATAAATATCTTACTGTCACTTTTGATCATTTTAATATATCCTTAAAAGTATTAATTCCTTTAAAAAAATGCTTAATGACCCCAAACTTTTAAATAATATATTCTAAAATACAAACCAGCGTGAGCAATCCTGAGTGCTTACTGAGAGACAGACACCTGATGTTTACACTGAAATGTTTGAGTAGTTGATACAGTATCTCTCATGCTGAGCCAAAACATTATGGCAATCTAGGGCACTGACAGAGTTTAACTTAGTTGAACTTTGGAGACGTCGCAGAAGTTTCTTATCAATCCCTTTTAGCTGTAAAAAGTTGAAAGCAAAAGAGCACTTTCACATAAGACACTATTAATAGGTAGAACCACCAGCAAGAGCTTTTGAACAGGCCCTTATTTGTCTTGTATAGAAAGAACATGCGCCGCGCTGTAATCATTCAGTCGCAGCTGTTACACACAAAAGCACACTGCCAAACTCTGTTCTTTTTTTTTTTTTTACATGCAGAACTTCAAACACTTTATTAATTTTACTGGACTCTGGACTAGATATCATATATCAGTTTGTCACACAGACCATCATATTGCACAGCAACCGTATGTCTCACTTCTCTCATCAACATTGCATATTGCTGCTGTCAGTACTACTGCATATATTCACTAGATGAAATACACCCCTACATATGCAGGAGTTCTGATATATATATATATATATATAATTATTTATTTTATATTACATGTACTTTATGTGTACACTGTGCATACTGTTCAATGTGTGTATTGTGAGTTCTGTCACTCAACCGCTGTGTCATGTCATGTGACATAAAAAGTTATTTGACTGAACACTATGGCGTTTAATATGCAAACTAACGCTGGGTCACGATAATGACAGCTGTGGCGTTACGTAACTTGCTCTTTGAAATTACTAAGTAACTTCCATGAATTTGTCAACCACTCAAACGGCGGGGTTTGTGTTATGTAAGGCTATTATTATTAGCTATTCTTGCCATGTCAAAAAAATGTGTGGCCTGGGTGATTTAAGTTAACGTTACATGAAATAAGTTTTGTTGGAGAGCAGACAACCATAACATGAAAAGCAGCAGCAGATCATCTGGCTGTGCCACCAATTCAGACATTCCTTGTCATCACCAAATACGGTCATATATAAATCAGGAGAATCTGTGGCGTGTAATAGGTTGAAACACTGTTCTCTCGTGTTTATTAAGTTACAGAACACACCTTCTCCTCGTCTGATCTTCTGGAGGTAGAGCTGCCTGGAGAGACGTCAGGCATATTTGACACCCAACAATATACACAACAGAAAATCAGCACGCCGGAATGCAGGACGTAGACTCTTACCTGCATTCGGGAGGTGGGAGAGGAGCTGCTGGTGTGATATGATCAGAGACATACAGACAAACTGTGACCGATACTCATCCTGAGAGTCGGGCAGAAGGAAGGACAACACTCTGAGCTTCCGCTCCAGTCAACGGTCCCCTTACAACGAGCGATAGGAAGTCCGACTCATTTATGCGAATCGGTTCTTTCGAACAGTTAACTTTAAAAGAATCGGTCCAAACAACAAGATTTGGCTATTATTTACGACATCACGTGGTCCCAACGTCAGACATTCCACAAGGTCTAATAAAAAAAAAAACATTCCATAAAGTGGTCATAATATTTGGTTGTTTATTAATTTTATATGTAGTTCATATATTCGTTTTCATCAACTTTTTGTCTTTTTATACGTAATAAAACGTTATGATTGATTTCGTAAGTTATTTGGTTTACTTTTCACCCCGTTAGTCAAACCCTCCGTTCGCCCCAAATGCTCTCGGTTCTCAAAGTGTGAATCGAACAGGTCGGAAAGGTGATTCTCCGTTCAATAATTGGTGAATCGAGAACCAACGATTCATTAACAAGTAGTTCGGATCAATCGATTCATTGATTCATCCGCCTCAAAGAACGATTCGTGCAATTTTACTCACACAACCTCTCTAAAAATACAGCTTACCTGCAGTGAGAGGAGTGGAGACCATTGTGCTCTTGCAATAATACACTGTATACAACTTTATTTTTATTATAGTAGGCCTATGCCTTTTGAAACATAGAGTCGTATTCATACAGGGAAAAGTTTATAATAAACCTGCAAGAAGAAGAACTTGCTGTAACATTTTTACCTTTACTTTTTGTGTATTTCATGCAGGGTTGTTGGATTCTTTGTATAAATGGGGCAAATGACATGTCATTGATGATGGACAAGAAAGGCTTTATGTAACGAGCATATTAGCTGTTTGTTGTCGTATCTATAAATATAGCGCATGTATAGAAATTAATTTCTAATTATGTACAATATTTTACCAAAGCCAGATGCGCACAACATATCATAACGATATTTATGAGTGGGAACGCTTAAACGGTGGTTGATGATTTAGACGGAAAATTTAAGTGTAACACACAATTCTGTCAACATGGCTGCCTCCTCCAGGAGTCTTTTAAGAGGTCAGTTTTAAGCATTATATATTATTTTACTTATATTCTGTTCATTCCAATGTATTTTCGGATTAATAACATGCAAGCTGCCATGTGCAGAATACTTGAGCTGATCGCACAACATCTAAGTTACACAAGCTAACAGTTTACACCACGATCTCTTATAGTTATGCTTATGTGAATTTATGCAGCGTGTCTGTCAAAAGGATACATTATAGTATTTTAATATATATTAGATGCATTATTTTGGATTGAGTAAACAGAAAGGAGCCATGCACATATGTTTTTAAATTGTTACATAAAATGGCCATGGTAACCATTGATGGCCGTAAGTAATGGCTACTCACAGTGACAACTCCTGTAGTAACTATGGTATCTTGATGAAACCTTTGGCTAGCATGGTACATTTAGCAAGAAAGCTGCCTAGTGGTCAGTCTTTAGATCCACTCCCTTCAGTCTATTTACTACTAGTTAGTTGTAATGTAACCATTAATATAAATCAGTTGACTGAGTCATTTTAATTCTATTATGCTCATGTGTCTTGTTTCAATCACAGTATTACCCAGGTGTCAGAGTTTGTTCTTCACATGCAGAGCTCCTTCTGTCTCCTGCAGCTCACTGACTGCAAACAGACAGCAGCATGTAAGATCCTACGCTGCTACCAAGTAAGTTCTGTGTACACGATTTAGTCTTTACCTTGGTAAAGGTTGTCTAATAAAATTCAGACATTTTGTATTTGACATGCTGAAAAAACAAGAAACCATGCAAAAACATATGCAAAGAGGAGACATATGTTCTTCATCAACTCTTTTTTTGTAGACAGAAAGAGAAGAAAGAGAAGAAAGAGGAGAAGGTTCAAGAAAAGGTGGTGAAAGAGAAAAAAAAGGTTGATGACAAAGACAGGCATAAACCATATGGACTCACATACTGGGCTCCAGTAGATGATGTGTACATGGTGAGGTACTATCCAAAACCTGTCTATGAGACACCCGTGGCCATTGAAATGCTGAAGAACTTTCAGAAACTGGACTTCAGTCCTGAAAACCAGCCTGTGTACATTAATCTACGTCTGGACATGAAGCTGGAGAAAAAGGTACATCTTGCGTGGTTGTTTTATTAAGCTGAGTTTGATTTAAGTAATATTTGCTTAAAATAATAAATTAAAGGTGCAGTCTGTAAGAGTGACCGCTAGTGGTCAAAATAGGTACTGCAGTCCAATTCAAAATATCGGAGATATTTGTTTCTCCCACCACCTGCTCCGGGTCGCCAGTTTGAGCACACAGGAACGAGCGCAATGGACAATGAAAATTGGCAACGTGCACTATCACAGACCAAAACAAAAATATGTGAACTTAGAATGTTTCCTCAATATATGCAAACATATTATGGTATTTTTATGCTTTAGTAGAGTGAAAAAGTTACATACAGCACCTTTAAGAGAAACATTTTGAACTAAATCATTCGAAAAATTATTTTGAAATTAGCTTATGAAGTTAACTTATGCTTACCAAGGATGCAAATGTTAAATAAAAAAGTAGTATTTTGAAATATTAAAATTTGTATTTCTAGTTTGTATGTCTAATCTTTTCCAATTTTTAGTTGAATTTATAAAATGATTGTAAATTAATGAATTTGAGTGGTTGCAAAAACTATTACACTACTGTTGAAAAGTTTGAGGTCAGTAAAATGTTTTAATGTTTTGAAAGAAGTCTTAAGTTTGCCAAAGTTGCATTTATTTAATCAAACTAAGTACAGTAAAAATAGTAATATTGTGAAATGTTATTGCAATTTAAAATAACTTTTCTATTGTAATGTTTTAAAATGTAATTATTTTCTTTGATGGTAAAGCTGAATTTTCAGCCTCATTACTCCAGTCTCCAGGAAAGAGCTTTCCCGTGCTTTAGTTGCAGTGGTCAGAGACAAGTTAAAGCTGTTATGGAGCTGTTCTTGCTTCAAGAAAGCTTAAATGTATCAAGTTCTGCTGTTCTACACCATATTACGATGATTCTTGAAGGTTCTTGACCTTGTATTTGGTATAAAAAAAGTTTAATTGCTGCTAAAATACGTAATATGTGACTAATACAAAAGTCTGTCTTTTCTTGTGATGGTTCGCCTTAAATTAAATAGGTTCAATGAGCTAGAAACAATGTTATTTTGAGTTAACTGGGTGAAAAATACTTCTCCTTAGCATGGTTGCAGAAACATTTCATCACTATAACTGCAACAAACAATTATATTTAAACGGAACATTATACCTTAATGAAATTCAATTTGTTTTGTTTCAGAAAAAAGTGGATCCATTTGTTAGCACAATTCACTTACCACATCCCTTCAAGTCGGACAACAACAGAATAGTGGTTTTCACTGAGGTGGGAGCATCACTCTGTGGTTTGCGTTAAACATTGCAGGTGTCAGACTGAATCAATTAGATAAGAATTTACAGCTTCAATTCAGGAGACTGTTCAGGTTACATACATTAATTCTAGAGTTATGGCTTTACAGAATCCAGATCAAGCCAGAATAGCGATGGATAATGGAGCAACAGTTGCAGGTGGAGCAGAACTGATTGACAAGGTAAAGCTCATGAGAACTTGTTGGCTGAGAAGGTTAACTGCTACATATGCTGTATAAGTGTCTTCTTTTTTCAAACAAAAAAGGGCCCAGTTACCCTGAATTCAACCTACGTTTTTGCTATAGCAGTAATCATTTATTGAAAAGAGCATTGTTGATTTTTTTTGCAATTGCTCATTTACTTTGTGTGCCTTAAAAGAGCATTGTTGATTTTTTTTGCAATTGCTCATTTACTTTGTGTGCCTTTTAATCAATGGTAATTACAGATTTTAGTTGATGAGATCACAGCAGATTTCTACTTGGCTGAGCCAGACATTCTACAAAAGCTGCTTCCTTTGAAGAACAAGCTGAGGAAGAAGTTTCCCAAGAGCAAGAGAGGTCAGTGAGTTTCCCCATGTCATGTAACGGGCATGGTCTATTAATGTACAACTAAATAGTGGTTCAATTGGATTCTTGTGTTGTTTCTTCCATCAGGATCTGTTGGAATAAATATACCCAGAATGCTTGCGTTGTTCAAGACTGGTCATGAATATATGGTGGAGGACATCCATGTTAACACACAAGTTGCAACAGTAAGTCACATTGAACTACTTTGGGTGACAGACATTTCTATCTATATATAATAAAGTGAGCAGGGTGATTTCTGCTTATTTTCATATCTATGAGTTGTTTTTTTATTTACGTATTTTTTACATTTGTTAACTCAGTTTGGTTTGTTAAACAGCTGGATATGCCTAAGGAGTGTATTTTGGAAAACATTCATGCCATTGTAAAAGATGTGGCAAGCCATAAACCAGCAGAATTTGGTAAGTAATTTATTTATTAAGTATACGTTTAATTTATTCCAACCATCTCACAAACTGTGAGCAAATGCCAAGGCTGAATTCCTTTTGAACATTTAAAAACTACAGAATTATGAGGACTACATGTTTGTTAGCATGTCCATGCTCTCTACAATAGATTTGACATTTGTGGAACTCATATTCTTTTACTTTAATAAAATGTCTTCTCTTCCAGGTCCATTTATTGACCGAGCAATTATCTGCAGTAGGTCGAGTGAAGGTTTGCACATCAAAATCGATGAATGGTTGCCACAAGAAGAGAAAAAGGCATGAGCTTTATATGTATATATTTGCATTGTACAAAACATTAGACTGCAATAAAATGGTAAATGTGATAACTGTGTGATTATTCTGCAGCCAGTTTTTACAGCAGAGGCATATTTTAGGTAAAGATACGACAGAATGGTCAATAAGGATGCCCTGTTGCAAAGGATTTCGGCCCACATTGACTTTCCTATCATAATGGAGATTAATTTCTGATGATATGGAATGCCTCAAGTTAGTGTATTTAACAGAAAATTGTTCACATTTTGATGTGGGTGTTAATTTGAAGGGTTTTTTTTGGAAAATGATTATCAGTCTAGCAATTTCACAACTATTTGCATATGTGACAAATTTTGCCTCAACTCCACTATAGTCCTCCCATCTGAGGGGAAGAAGTCACTTTTTATATTCACATATTTTTATACTATGTTTAAACCTTCGTACACTTTGGGACCTGAAAAAAAGTGTACGTCCTTTTTCCCCCTGGGCCTTACATCCCCTATCTATAACAGCAGGTGGCAGTAGTCGCTCACACACTTTTTCTAAACTAATTAAGCTCACATTTAAAGTTTTTGTCTTCATTTTTGGCATTTTCAAAATATTCTTGTTAATGGCTAAGATAAGACATAGGCAGGTTTTGTTCCAGACAGTATGTATTAAACCATAAATATGTAATTACTATATATTTTATATTTAAAATGTTATGTTTTACTTCTTAAAAATATTACTATATTTATTATAGCCAATCTTACTATAGGATATGTTAATACATTTTAAAATGATATTTAAAAAATATAGCATGGTTAGAAAGGTTTGAATTTCTTCAATTCTATGTCCTTTTCTGTTTTGTCCCGTGAATGAGCACAACCAAGGATCAGATTGCGCTGCTGCACGTGACTCTCAGGAATCTCTGACCCTAAACTGCACTAGGTACTTTAAGTATTCTTAAATGTTTTTAAACGTTCAATGAACGACATTCAATTAGCATTATTCTAAGTTTGGAATGCATGTTTACACACAAATTAATTGGCCTAATAAAAAAAAAGCGCATTAACAGAAGACCACCACGAAACCCAATCCACGTCAAAGCTTTGATGGCCACAGGTTTTGTTCCCACAGTGGTAGAGGTGACGGAGGAGGGGGTTTCTCGACTCGTGAACACAGCTGGTCGTTTCTCCAATAACTCACTTTAAAGAGCAGCTCGTACGCTCAGTGGTCGTTAGTGCGTGTTCCTCTGTAATTACTCGCGTTCAAGTTGTCTTTGCTATGGGCCCGTACTTTTAAGAGGCAGGATTTTCGTGTCGGAACTGCTTTCTGTGAGGAAGTTTCGCTGGAGAGCGCACTGGACTGGATGCTTCCCAGTATCGAGACCGACTCTCTGCAAGACTTCAAGCTCAGCCGCTGCTGATTGATTCGAGTCCTCGGGAAAGAAATGATGATGCGTTCTAATTCACATTCAACTTAAAGCGATTGTATTTTTGAGCATTTTGGATTAACACAGTTTCTAAAGTGAATATGGGTCCTATTTGGATCCTTCTAACCGGTTTAATTGGATATATCACCATCTCCACCGGAGCAGAAGGTTGGTGTCCCTGTTATTGTGATTTTACTGAATTCAGTTGAAAATGTGTTGCCTGCTATAGGTAAAACCTGCAAATAAGCGCGGGTAGTTAAATAAAATAGATTTACAATTTCTCCTGTAGGTGCGCATGGAAATGCGATAAAATAGCAATGCGCAATACTATTAAATAACTGAATGGCTATGTCTTAGTGATGCTGTTTATGAAACGGCGTCCGCATCATGTACGTCTCTATCTGTATGATCTGTACATCTCTATCTGAATCTTCCTGCATCAACTTGTGATGCATTTGCGTGAATTCACAATAACACAATTATTGAGAAGTTGATTGACAGTCAACATTATTGCGATTGGTTTTCAAGATGAAAGTGTATCCTGACGGAAGTAGCCCAGGCTTTCTTTGAGAAGTAAAACTTAACATAGACATCCTAGTTAACTTAATCTTTAAAAAAAAGTTTCTGGACCATGTTTTCACGATTATCTGCATGCAATTTAATGCAGTTTCTATAATCTAAAATACATTTGTTCCCTAGCCTGATGCCTCTAAATGAATACAGTTTAGCTACAGTGTTATGCATTAAGTGTCTTTTAGTTCCCAGCCGTATCTGTTAACATGGCAAATGAATGTCAAACTTTTAAAACGGATCAAGAATGATTATAATGTTGACTGACATCCTTTTCTCTTTACAGCGTGTGAGAGTAAACCGTTACATTTCACTAATGCACTGTACGTGTGACAATCTTTTGTGTTCTCTCACATTGGGTGCTACTGGCATTTATGAATGTCCAAGACATTGTCAGACAAATGATTGTCATGACTGTAACATTTGTCCACAAGTAATAATGAACTTGTCATTTGGCCTGCTAGTGAAAGCTGATGTATTGATCCTCTTCCACCCTTGTTCACCTAGTTTTCTCCATCCACAGGAGCATGTGTCCATCGAGGCGCATTGTTTGCGGTACGTATCCATTCCTCCTCTTGTTTTCGCTCCCTTTTATTCTGAGCATTAATGTAGCCTACTTTTGTTGAGATCTGGGGCTTTAAGCAATAATCCTGCTCCATTTATGCAAGTCAGACATGGTGTCTTTAATTATTTAGTTGCCCATTATCACAGCACTGACATTGAAATGAGTCGCCTGGTAAAGTATCAGTAAGAATAGGTCTCACAGTCCCTTCAGATATATTTGAGGAGAAATGCCTTATAAATAATAAACGTGCTGACTTTGTGAATGGTGCTGAGAAGGAGATGGTCTACTCTAGATTGTGTACCTTGAGAAATGTAAAGAAACCTTGTATTCAGGTCTCTCTTTTAGCCCACAGCTCAGTGCAAATTGTAAGACACAGACACCTCAGATTTCCATTCATTTTGTGGTTGTGAATGATGAGATTGCCCTTTTGTTGTTCCCTTTGCAGAACTAATGGTTTGTATGTTAACGTATGTGTGTAATTTTTAACTTCATCCATGATTACTTGCAGGAATAGTAACATTTTGAGTGCACAGACACTTTCTTGTCATTACAAGAGAAAATACCTGCTTCACACAAGCTTCATACATGGAACTGTGATGCACAACAGGTTTTCTTCATGGTTTAATGGGAAACAATGACACATCTTCGTCTCTGCTATTGTGTAATGACAGTAATTAAAAGCAGTGTAAACACAGCAGAAGGATTCCTTCCTTCACTGCCCTGAGAACTGGGAATGGAAGTGAATGGTATGCGCATTATTCCCTAAAACTCTGCTCCTCCTGGGATTCAAGAGGCTTTGTGGGGAAAATGGGGAGCAGGTTGGAAAGACAGTCGTGGGCAGGTGGAGACATGCTGGAGGGAGTCAGGAAGAGGCTCTTTGAAGTTCAAAAGAAAAGTCAGCCAAAACACCTGGACAAGGGGCCCATGTGTCCTGATATAGGGGAAAAAAGGCAGGATTTAAGTAGCAATTATGGCTCCAAACTCTTTTCAGAAGTCGTTAGCAAATCAAAGCATGTGAATGAATGGTTAAACCGTGTCAAAACGTATATAGCTAATTGGTCTTTTTGGTTGATTTAGTTTCTTGTTGTATTAGAAATAATATTAAGAAATCTAATTCGGTATACATACTTGTATTTTTTTTTCCAATTCAGCTAGGCCTAATTATGTGTTTTGTGTCTTTTTAACCCTTTGTTTGATGATAGCGATGGAAAGTACAAAAGATGGGGTCAGTAAAAGTTTTGTTTGAAGGCAAATACTTTTATTCTGCAAGGTTGCTTTAAATGGATCAAAAGTCAATGTTAAGACATTTATAAAAAGAATTCTATATTTCACATAAATGCTGTTCCTTTGAACTCTCTTATTCATCAAAGAATGCTAAAAAAAGTATTATGGCTTCCACAAGTATATTAAGCCACACAACTGTTTTCGACATTGATAATAATAATAATAATAATCAATGTTTTCTGAGCACCAAATCATCATTGTAGAATGATTTCTGAAGGATCTGACACTGAAGACTCAAATTCAGCTTTGCCATCACAGGAGTAAATTACATTTTAAAATGTATTAAAATAGATAATTATTTTAAATTATAATAATATTTCACATTATTTGCGTTTTAACTGTATTTCTGATCAAATAAATGCAATCTTGGTGCATAGGATAATTCTTATATATATAAAAAAAACCTTACCGACTCCCAACTTTTGAATGGTAGTGTATATAAATTTCAAATTTTTTATGGTGTCAGAACCTAACCAGTTGTTGTGTGTAGCAGTGCCATGAAGGTGAACATGTATATGTAATCTGAAGAGCCTGTTGAGAGATATTTGGCAGTTGGTCTAAAGTTTTTCTATCATTATTTTTAACTCTGCTACTTCAGCCTTCGAAAGTGGAGAGTGTTCAATAAAACAGTAGGTGAAATGACAGATGCGGACTTCTCAGGAGTGTTAATTTCGTTTTAGCAAACAATGGCAGAAAACAGCAGTTTTGTGCATTTTTGCTGTGAAGAGTCCTTGCAATGAATACAGTATAAAGATTAATGAGACCCAGTGCAATAGCTCTCACCCTTTCTATTCAGCAGCACATTCTGAAATAACATCACCACATCTAAACATATCACTCAGGCCCTGGAGCACAAATTCCTTGCGTTGCAAGTAGTCCGCCTTCAAGCAATCGAAATGTAGGGCAACTCAAGAATTCAACTGTCTAAACACAGACCCCTAAAATGACCGATTTTGGCTATTTTATTGGTTTAAAATAAAGTATTTAGTTCATTTTAACATATCTATAATTTGCTTGGAAATCAAATAGGAATTAATTGGAGTAAAATATTTTAAGATTATTTGGGATTGAGGAATTTGGAAATTAATAATTAAAAAAAGATTTGAACTATATCTCCTTAGTTATCTTGTTTAGGGGTTTTATTTAGCAATTATACTTACAAATAGATCACATGCAGAGTAAATATACGATTGTTAAATAGAGAGAGCGTGGTCACGTTCTCCCATGCCACCCATGATGTT